AATACCTGATGCTTGGACATTTGAGGAGGCAGCGACAGTCCCGTGTGTTTATAGCACGGTTTACTACGCTTTGTACATACTTGGAAAAATGAAAAAGGGCGATAAAATACTTATACACTCCGGTACTGGTGGCATTGGACAGGCGGCGATCCATCTCGCTCTTCATGAAGGATGCGAAATATTCACTACCGTGGGCACACACGAGAAACGAGATTTCATTAAAGAGCTGTTTCCGACTATTCTCGATGAACACATCGGAAATTCTCGAGACGTCAGTTTCGAACAAATGATAATGCGACAAACGCACGGTCGTGGAGTTGACATCGTGTTGAATTCCTTGGCAGAAGAAAAATTAATCGCATCTGTTCGCTGTTTAGCACAAAACGGTCGCTTCTTGGAGATTGGCAAATTTGATATGGTTTCTAATAATTGTTTAAGCATGTCCTTGTTTCAGAAGGGTATTAGTTTTTATGGCGTTCTACTTGATAATATGTTCACTAGCAAACACAAAAGTAAATCGTTATTGTCGAATATGATTGCTGATGGTCTTGAGGATGGAGCCATCAAACCAATTCGAGCAACAATTTTTTCGAAATCGGACATTGAAGCAGCTTTTAGGTACATGGCGAGTGGTCAACATATGGGAAAGGTAATCCTTTTAAAACATTTTACATGTAACAATGTGCTAATTTAATATCTAAATATTCCACAGATAATTATAAACATTCAAGAGAAAGATAAATCTTCATGTGAATCTGTCGTTGCATATCGCCGTTACTATTGTGTCAAAGACAAAAGTTACATTATAATAGGAGGTCTGGGTGGATTTGGTTTGGAGTTAACCGATTGGTTGATACTTCGTGGCGCCAGGAACATTGTACTCATCTCGCGAACTGGAATAAAAAATGGTTACCAGCGCGTGAAAGTTAGATTATGGGAATCGTACGGTGTAAATGTACAAATCGTCAAAAATATCGATGTTAGTGACCCAAAGATTGCCAACATCTTTTAAAATCTGTGGAAAGACAAGCACCAGTAGACGCGATATTCAATCTCGGTG